AGTAATCATATTAATATGTAATTAGGTTTAAGATCATACCTTGATTGTTATGTAGCAATAACAATCCCAATTCCTCCTTGAATTGACTTTGGAATGCTTAGAGTCACAAGTGTCACTCCTCTAATGGTTCACAAACACCATAAGCAAGAGGATGAATAGAAGAGAGGTTGGAGGCTGCCAAAAACGTGTGAAACCCTAACACAAAGCTTAGCCATGTTTTTGAGCCTTAAGGGGTCTTTATATAGTTGGGCTATTAGGGTTATCTAACAAGGAAACCCTAATTTGGATGCTTAAGCCCTAAGCAACCCATAGACTCCTTTTAATCAAGCCCTTGGACGATTTCCTTATGGGCTTCCCCATAGAATTCGTCCAACCCTTGATACAAGGCAATCCATGACCCAAATTGCAATTATCTTATAATTACAATTCCAGTCCCTTAAGTTTAATTAATCTCTTTTAGTCACAAAACTAATTACCAATTATATATTGACTAATATTAATTAAACAATATGATTTCTACTTTAATATATTATTCCCATAATATATTAATAAATCATATTTAGTCCTTTCTCTCCATAATTCATCCTATCAAGTTGCTTTGGTGAAGGCAACCCAAAAAGACCATGCACCATTGGGTCAAGTACATACCAAAATAGTTATGGACTTAGACACTAATCCAACAAAATATATATATATATATATATATATATATATATATATATATATATATATATATATATATATATATTGGGGTGAGATCCGTTGAAACTCATAGTTTTTCGTTAACTAAAGGTGGAATGTTAGATAAAAGTAAACTCATTAAGGGCTTGATCATCATCTTAACAATCTCATTTAATGTTCTATTTTTTTTTTGTTATTGAAAATATTAATAAAAAGGTTTTAAAATTAACATAATAAATCAAATTTTCATTTTTCTAAATAAAAGTTTTCGATTTTTTTGCAGATTTTTAAAATTTTTATGGAAAACTTTAATTTAAAAAAAATGAAAATTATATATATATATATATATAATATATATATATATATATATATATATATATATATATATATATATATATATAAACTCAAAATTTTTTAAAACAATTAAATTTGAAAAATCAATAAGTTAGAAAAATCTGGAAAATTTTAAAAAAAACTATAATATTTTTAACAAAAAAAATCAACGTTTTAAGTGCATATATGCATATTTTTCAAGTACATTTATGCATCATTCTTATAATATAATATTCGTAAGAAATCATATAAAAATCCATTTTATTTAATAATCTATAAACACAATAGTAAAAGTATTATATTCGATACAAAATAAAATATAGAAAAACAAAAAATACTACAAAATTTCAAAGAGTTTTCATGTTTTCGTGTCACGATTATCATATATTATATATATATATAATATATATTATATATATATATTATATATATATATATATAATATAATATATATATATAGTATATCACTTTGCACATCTTCAATAGTTTCCACAATTCTTTTAAATCTACGAGAAAATTAAAAAAAAAATGATTAATGCAAGAAAACTCATAAAAAATATATGTGTGAATATAAAAGTAATCCATATGTGATTTACTTATGATTAATATGTGAATAACATGTAATTTATATGAGATTTACTTGTGCGTTACATGTGATTCATATGTGAATGGCATGTGAATCACATGTAATTCATATGTGATTTATTTCTGATTTATATGTAAATTACATGTGAATCACATGTAATTCATATGTGAATCACTTATGATTTACTTGTGAATTACATGTGATTCATATGTAAATTACATATGAATCACATTTAACTCATATGTGATTTACATGTGAATTACATGTGAATCTCATGTAATTTATATGTGAATCATATGTAATTCATATGTGAATCATTTTTTATTTACTTGTGAATTACATGTGAATCATATGTAAATTACATATGAATCGCATGTAACTTATATCTGATTTACATATGAATCACATGTAATTCATATGTGAATAACTTGTTATTTACTTATAAATTACATGTGATTCATATGTAAATTACATATGAATCACATGTAATTTATAAGTAAATAACATGTGAATCTCATGTAATTCATATGTGAATTATTTATGATTTACTTGTGAATTATATATGATTCATATGTAATTTACATATGAATCACATGTAATTCACAAGTAAATCATAAATAATTCACATATGAATTTCATATGTGATTTACATGCGAATCACATGTAATTCATATGTGATTCATTTGTGATTTACATATGAATTAAATGTGATTAATATGTGAATCACTTGTGAATTACATGTGATTACATGTTAATCACATGTAATTCATATATGATTTATTTGTGATTTACTTGTCAATCACTACATATATGATATTGTAGTAAGTACGAAAACCAAGTTGTATGAAGGGATAACAGGGGAGAAGAGATGTTACTGAAAGGGGCTTTTTACTTTATAATTGAAAGACATATTGAAATGGTAAGAAATAGGACAGCAATAAAAGTAAAATGTGTGATTAGGAGTTGAAGTGATCAATCAAATCATTAAGTTGTGTTCTTATTGAAGGGTATCAACCTTTTTTTGCCTAGAGTAAATGATTGAACCTTCAAGATTTATTATGATTATAGTTTTTAATAATCCTTTTTTGTCTACAAGTATATTTGAATTTTTCAAGTTTGGTGCTGATAAATGTTTTCTTGCAATTTTAGTTTTTGTAACATTTTTGGTCCACGTACCGATAAAATGTCTACCTTTGGTCCCTGAGTAAAGCTGATTTTTCAATTTTGGTACCAAAAATAAAGTCTTATTATTTAGAATTAGGTACCATATTTGCAAAAACTAGCTATATTCAGGGAGCAAATGTGTTACTTTCTCTAAGGAAAATGAATTTACCTACCAAAAGAATTCTTTTATTAGAAGAGTATGACTCAACACTTTCCTAGTCTTCATAATCCAAACAATAACATCAACCTGCAATATAACAAAACTGTAACGCCCGCAGATCTGGGCTAGTCAAATTAGAGGCAATAAGGATCGAAATTGAATTTTTGGCAAAATATTATTTAGAACAAATAATCTTAATCAAATTGTAGTATATGTTACAAGGTTTCCATACATATAAAGAACGCCCAAATCTGACTTCATATGAGGAAGTTATGATTTTTCGAAGTTTCGGATTAAGATTATTTTGTTCTAAATAATATTAGATCGAGCGGTTTTTGGCTGACACAACCTGAAATAGAATCGAAGATCTCGTTAAGAGTAGTGTAACGAGAAAAAGATGGATGAAAATAGACGTCGGATGAAGAAGTTATGAGAATTTAATGGACCAATCCTGTCCCAGTCTGTTAATAATATAACTTTTAAAATAGAGTCAAAATTAGCCGATGGAGTCTAAACGAAAGTTGTAGAGTACGTTCCCACCTTCGCGTGGATATAAAGAACATTGAAAACGGAGCTCGTATGAAGAAGATACGAATTTTTGAAGTTGTAACTCGAATTTGCGAAGCTGGTACGAGAGTGATGACATGGCTCGATCAGGGCCGTAGCTTGCTGGTCATGGTCTGGTCTTCGGATTCGGACACCTGGCCTCATTACGCCTCGCGTACGAAAGGAACGCCCCACGTCCGAGTACACCCCGCATCGGAAGGAGGTTAAGCCCAGCGGTCTTCGGTTGCGCGGATTCGGAGCATGCCACGATACACCACCAGCGAAGCGATACGTGCTCTACGACCGAACCCTTACGCCCAACGTAGGTCCGAAGTACGCCCAGTGTACCCCGAGGCCTCGCGGCTATATAAGGGGGCCGAGACAGCCTTCATTTTTCACACCAATTTCTTTCTCTCTCTCTCTCTCTCTCTCTCTCCCTCTCTCTCTCTCTCTCTCTATATATATATATATATATATATATATATATATATATATATATATATATATATATATAAAACAAAATCCTACAAATAACTATCCATTCATCTGCAAAATGCATTGGACAATATGAAAATATGAAATAGTAAAATACTGTCGTTTTGGTCATTTTCATGCTACCAAAAAAAATCATATGATTTACGAAATTGTATGCGAAAGAGGCCCATGTGGAACGTGCCTAAGGCCATTATGAAAGCCATTAGTATTACAGCCCAAAAAAAAATCTCATTTTTGTGAATTTCTCAATTCCTTGAAAACGCTTTGAACTCTACGAAATGGCTAGTTAGTGATTTAATATTTAGACACACCGATTGAACAATTGAGTTTAAGGGTGATTAAGAGTCAGTCTTGCACCAAAAGTAAATTTTAGGGACTACCTATATAACAAATGAGATATTTGAGCCAAAACGTAAGTTTTGATGTATCATAGGGCCGGAAGTTGTAGTTTAGTCTATTCTTTTAGTAAATAAAATATTCCATCAAATGTGGAAGTATTAGTTGGTCAATGATCTTCTAGCTTTGTTAATCAGTTAATCTTAACGACATGTACACAATATATGAATAATCTATTATTTGTACAACATCACACACAATCGACTTTTGCGCTAAACTTCCACAAGCAGACTACGTTTTCCTCTCATTTTCCTTGTTATCATGGTGCAAATGCATATAGATTTAACATGTTCTTTATGATTTCTTATTTAATATGTTCTTTGACATCACAACTCAACACAGCTTCATTATATATATATATATATATATATATATATATATATATATATATATATATATATATATATATATATATATATATATATAATATGGTTTGGACATAGTCAAATCTAAACACATACATCATACATGAACATACATACAAGTCAACCATGATGAACATTTACATACATACTTCTCATATGCATTATATGTATGTAACGTATGTACACACAAACTCACACACATATATACGCACACGCACAAAAGATATTAACTCCCACTGGAATCAAAAGTAGGCAAGAATTAAGAAAGAAGTGCATGGAGATCGGTGGGGTTCCAAAACTTCTATCTTTCTTGGCTAAGATCATTTCCTTTTTCCTTTCACATAATCACCAAAAACTTGTTGTCCTCTTCAAGAAATTCGCATATGAGGCAAAACCTAGCTACGTCTTACTTATGTTTTTTACAATTAGCATTCTTATTGTAGGCATTTTCTCTAGAATTGCTCAAGAAGATTTTCAATATCATTCCGACTCCTTTTTCTCTGTCTTAGAATTACATCCATTGTCATATGGATTTGATGAAGATATGACATATGAAATTTACAGTAGCACTACTATTGTAGATGAAGACGACCAAGATTTTGTTCCCCGTTTAGTTCATCTAGAATTAGTCAAGGGTGCCAGTGGGAGCCATGAAGATTACGATCCCTCATTCAGTTCTTGTTGGACGAATCAAGGTTGCCAACAGGAGGGGAACAGAAGAATCTGTAGCCAAAAACATTTGGAAACGGAAGACAAGTTTCTTTAGTAGGAATATAATATTTGCTAGATACGGCTAAACTTATTTTATTAATAATTTTAGGGATATTCGATTTGATGTATATATGCTTTTTATTTTCTCTTATACCATTTGCATTTGTGTAGGGAGGTAAGGAAATGAATTACGATTGTAATGTAAGATGGAGATGACGATACAAAGTGTGTAATACATGTTGGAGTAATTTTTGCAAGGTCTTTCTTATATGTGTAAATATGATCATATATGTCTTTCCACTATCAGAGGGTTTTATTCCGTTTTGGTTTGGCTAGAGTTATATTATTTTAGTCATGCCTAGTGTTTGGTAGTAGTATTGGTTGAGGGTTGGTTTTTGAACAATAATTCATCAAAAACTAGCAAGAAGCTACTAATGCATTTAGACCACGGATAGAAGGAAATTGTCGTAGCACCGACATCCAAACACCTAGTAGAGATCCATAAAAAAGATAACAATTTGAAGTCTTTATATACAACGGCGGACGCATGGAAAAAAAACTCACGGGTTACACAATTTTTGTAGGGGTTGCACTACTAAAACAAAACTCATTTTCGACACAGTTTGAGCCACACAGTCGTCACTAAACCAACATATTTACACTAAATTCATACTTGTCAGACTTTTTGATGGACGTGCCCCAAAAAATGCATCTCTCGCAACCAGAAATTACACTTTGAGAACTTGACATATAGCCTTTCCGTTCTCAGTGTCTCCAATACCTCCCGCAGATGCTGCTCGTGCTACTCATTGGTCTTAGAATAGACCAATATATCATCAATGAAAACGATCACCTATCGATCCAACATCAGTTTACATACCCTGTTCATGAGATCTATGAACGCCGTCGGGGCATTGGTGAGCCCGAATGACATAATCACAAACTCATAGTGCTCGTACCTAGTACTGAAGGTTGTCTTCAGTATATCCTCATCCCGAATCCTTATATGATGGTACCTCGACCTAAGATCAATCTTGGAAAACCAAGATGCACCATGTAGCTGATCAAACAAATCATCGATCCTCGGGAGCGGATAACGGTTTTTCATCTTTAACTTGTTCAGCTCTCGATAATCAATGCACATTCTGTGTGACCCGTCCTTCTTTTTCACGAACAAGATCGGTGTTCCCCATGGGGAACTACTCGGACGGATAAACCCGCAGTCTAACAGCTCCTGAAGCTGCGTAGACAGCTCCTGCATCTCGGGCGAAGCCAAACGGTACGGTTCTTTGGCTATCAGAGCAGCAACCAGTACCAAATCAATACGAAACTCTACCTCCCTCTCTGGAGGCATCCCTGGCAACTCTTCGGGAAAGACATCCCAAAAATCTCGTATAATTGGCACACTACCCAAATCTGTCGTAGGCTCAACCCTCGTATCTAAGATATATGCCAAGAATCCCGAACAACCTTGATGGAGAAGTCTCTTATCCCTCGCAGCTGAATAGAAGGTTGGCCCCTGCGAGACCCTTTCTCCATGAATAACCAGTTCTCCCCCACTTGGGGTTCGAACCCACACCAGTTGGCATTCTCAATCTATCATGGCCCCATTGGCCCCCAACCAGTCAATCCCGATGATCACCTTCAGTCATCGCAACGGTATTGAGACTAGATCAACACAAAACCTCTCCCCAAGCATATTCAGGACATAGTACCGATACACCCGCGCCGCACTCATGGTGCGGTCATCAGCAATCTCAACCTCAAGCGGGGAATCTAAAGTCCCCGATGCATCCCAAAACTTCTTGCTAAGCACAAGAGATAGAAACGATCGGGTAACATACGAGTCGAATAGAACGTGAGCCGACATACCATTGACCAAAAAGGTCCCTATACATGAGCACAAATGTATACACATAAGTAATGCAAATCAATATAGAGTAGAAGATAAATACGTACCAACCACAACGTCTGGTGCTACCCGAGCCTCCTTGGTAGTTAACTGAAATGCGCGGATCTTCACCGTTGGAGCAGTCGTCTTAGTAGGGCAGCCATCAGTAATCCTCATGTAACCCGGATAGCCACATGCGTAATCTCGTGAGCCTACTGCTCGACAAGCCCTACTGTGTAGTTTACCGCACTTGGCACACCGACCACGATCCTGCAAGCCCCTACTAGAAGAATCCGAGGTCTTAGGCTTTTTAGCCTGACCTACAGTTGTTTGTGCCTGCTCTGGTTTCCGCTTGGTGTGGAACTCCAACTCCATCTCCCGCTCACGGGCCTTCCCCACCATCTCGTTCAGAGTTTTGCACCCTGTAAAGCTCACAAACTCTCAGATATCATCCCTCAGCATGGAATGACATCTTTTCCTCTTCATATCCTCATTTGTAGCATATTGTGGGATCAATAGTGCTCGTTCCTAAAATTTGGCGGTGATCTCCACCACAGTCTCGGTGGTCTGCTGGAGCTCATGAAACTCCCTCACTAGTCGTTGCACCTCAACAAATGGTGCAAACACCAAATAAAAATGCATGGCGAACTATTCCCATGTCATTTATGCCACTCCAGCTACCCCACTTGACTGGTCAACTCTCCCCACCAATCACGGGCTTGGTCCCTCAGCATACACGAAGCAAATCCTACATTTTCCGTATCAGGGCAAGAACTAGTACGGCGGGCGTTCTCCATGTCTGCCACCCGACGTCGGCTTACTATGGGGTCCCTGACCCCGAAGAACTCCGGTGCCCCGTACACCTTGAACTCCCAGAACGAAGGAGTTCGGGTCCTGACCTAGCACGCAACAATCTTGGTTCTGAATTCCCCGAGCTTCTCCTCCATAATCTCCATCATCCCTTCCTTGACCGTCCTAAAAATCATTGGGGTCGCGTCAAGGATGCCCCTCATACACTCGGTTGCAATGAGCTCACGCAACGTCTCATCAATGGGTGTTGTACCATCGCCCGACCCAGATCCGGACTTTGATCTTGATCTTGACCCCCTGCTCTAAACCATGTCAACACCATTCTGATCTGAATTACCAGAAGATAGAATGATCAAAATGTCCAAAAAGAAGATCTTCCCACACCAGTTCTCCTTAGAGCTTTCAGGTCTAACATTAGTTCTGGTACAAGTCATGTGCTTTCAGTAACCCAATACTACATTCCACACCTACCTGTACCTTTCCAAAAGCTCTACCTGGTAACTCTAATTCATCCTAGAACAAAACATATCTCACATGCTATCGTGTAGCTCAAATCCTAAGTTATCCTAAGATTTTCTCCATCCATATCAAACTAGAACTCAATCATAACAGATTGCCTTATGCATGCACATTATACATAGAACAGGATCAAATAGACTTTTGAATAATCGAATCTACCCTAAGACCACAACCAGAAAAGGAATAGGAAATAAGGCCAAATCAATCATTCTAAGGCTATAAGACCCTAATTGTATACAATTTTGAAAGCATACACATAGCAAGATTCATATGATTATTATAATCCAAATATCATTATAACATGGCTAACATATTGAGTAACTACTTACATGAGCTTAGCCGATCATGCGCATTGCACTCTCCTCTTTTCCCATATTAAGAAGTTTTTAACTTTTGAGTTTTGAATACAATTTTACCATTTCCTTAGTTTAAGTCTTGACACACCCGAGAGTGTGCCTGAATCCCTCAAACCAAGGCTTTGATACCAACTTGTAACAACCTAAATTTTAAAATAATTTTTTCATTGTTAATTAACCAAAACATTCCTAATAAATATAAAGTAACAATGACAATTATTTTCGAAATCCATAATATCAACATTTTATCTCAAATACCAGAGTGTCCCATCAAACCAAATGCAGAAGAGTGCATGTCGCGCCATCAAGCCTTGCCCTTGCCCTTAGGCTCAGATGTACCTGAAACAAATAAACAAACTGTAAGCTAATGCTTAGTGAGTTCCCCAGAGCATACCCCACACAATCCATATAATCACATAACCCACATTAGCTATAAAAGCTACATAAACCATATAAGCCATGCATACAAACATATAAGGATGTCGTGGGTTCCTCCCAGGGTCTTACTCCAGGATGTTATTGAACGGTTTTGAGCATTCTAACACTCCTATGATGTGCATGCAACCCTATAAACCTTGGATCTATGTTTTACTAAGATACATGCAAAATGATTTTCCAAGGTTCTTAACATAACTAGCATGGTATGGGGAACTTTAAAACATAATTGCTAGTAGAAGAACATACCTTTTAGTTGCTTGGATTCCTTGAAAACCTTGTGAGCCTAGCACCCCAAGTGTGATGCCTCAAATGTCTCACACAACACCACAATACTTAGAATAAATTTGAGAGAAGTACACTTACACCTCAAAATTGGCTAGCCCTCTCTTTGTTGCTTGTAGTAGTCCGATTTTGTTTGCATAGGGGTCTTTATAGAGTTGTGACACAAGTAGGGTTACACCATGTAAACCCTAATTGTCATGGCTTTCCATATTCCATGATCCATGGGTTTGTAACCTCCATGGACTATCCATAGAACACCTTATGGGTTTTAACCCAATCTATACAAACCATGGATCATTAGCCTAACTATACAAGAATAGATGATTTACATAATCAACCCCATATATTCAATTAGTCTTCTTTTTGATCACTTAATTAATTCTAAATTAATTCTTGATCAATACTAATTAAATATTTGAGTAAATTACACGAATGGTCCCTATGGTTTAGGGTAATTTGTATGTTTGGTCCCTAACTTATTTTTTTAACTCGGAAGGTCCTTACTGTTTGTTTTTGTTACGCGCTTGGTCCCTATCTTACCTAAAAAGACTATTATGTCCTTGATTTTTTTAATTTATTTAAATAAACACTCCCCTAATCCCACCCCCTCACATTACCTCACCTACCCCATCATTTTTTCCTCTTTAAATAATAGTCTTTTTAGATAAGATAGGGACCAAACGCATAACAAAAATAAACAGTAGGGATCAAACGCGTAACAAAAACAAACCATAGGGACCTTCCGAGTTAAAAAAATAA